TATTTCCAGATTCAACAAAAGTACTTGCAGGCGTTTAGTTTGCAGGTGTGCCCCCTGTTGACCACGCCTCCCACCAGGTCCTTTGCAGCCCACAGGTGCAAATCCTTGAGGATTGTACCCTAACTCTCTTTGGCAGATGGATGTTACTCATGTTCCCTCTTTTGGATGCCAAAAATATGCCCATGGGATTATTAATACTCCTCCATTTTCCTGTCAAAAGAAAATTCAAAAATGGCCATCTTTGCTATGGAAACCATGTTAGCCATGGGGGTTCCTTATTCTATCAAAACAGATAAAGGCCCCACCTACAAGCTCTCAATTTAAAGTCTTCTGTGCTGACTGGAACATTGCTCATAGTACAGGCATTGCTGACAATTCCCGAGGACAAGCCATTGTCTAGCATGCGAATGCTTCACTTAAAAAAAGATTACAAAAAGGGGGAAATGGAACTCATACATGACCACAAGAAGAATTAGTATCAGGCTTCTTTACGTTAATTTTTTTTTAATTTTGACAAATCAGAATTAACCCCTGCTTATAAGCCCTGGGGAGCCGTGCTCCCTCCCACCATTACCACTAATCCTCTGGAGAGACCCACAGATAATCAGTGAGGGTCCTGCCCCACCGCTAACAACAGGTCGGTTTTGCTTGTGTTTTCCCAGAAGGAGCAGAACAACCCATTTGGGTTCCTGGCTGAGCCATCAAGCCACACATGGAGTATAGGGAGACTACAATGATGATGGACAGCCTGTCATTGGACGAGGGGTAAGAGGATTCAGTTCAGAGAGATAACACCTCCCCAGGGACACAAGAGCCAGGAGGAGAGGACCCCAGAGGCAGAGACAGCGCCGATGCAGATGACCTATACCAGCTCCCCCTGTAACTTGGGGAGCCCTTTTAAACCTTAGTAACTCAGGCTCAAAACATGTCACTAGAGGAGCCAGAGACAGGACCTTACACCCTATTCCTGCTTATATTGCCATTGTTACCACTAATTCTCAGGTTCAGGCTCAGCCTTTGTTGTGGGCCACAGTTAGAAGCCCCTCCATTTCTAAGGTCAGTCTCCTGAGACTCTCCTTGCCGATCACACAGTGACAACCCTAAAATAGATGATCCCCCTCTCTGGTTAATTGTCTATGCTTTCTCTTTTAATAGCTCCTTTCATCTGGAGCCCAGTTTGGTTGAGTTTTGCCTCCATGAGGCTGCCTGTCCCTCCGATTTTGTCCTCTTGGCAAAGATAAACACAGGAGATTTTGCAAATTGGATACCTAGACAATACTAGGGAGAAGAGTCCTTTCAATACCACGCAATTCCCTGATGGTACCGAGGAAAATACGTCCAGAAATAGATCCATGACAGGTCCCAATTGCACTTTCTGGTACAATGCCTAAGCCTAAATGCTTTTCCAATCCCCATTACAACTTCTCACCCGGAAATCCACTGTTTATGTGATTACAATCTTTGTGGTAGTTGCGATGGCTGCCCCAATGGATTCCACAATTTCAAGGGTGTTTGTCTGTCCCCTGCCCTCTACAACAATCCTTCCTCTCAGCTTTCTGGGGTCAATCCTTCCAAAACATCCACAGAAGAATACCCCCGTGTTATCTGTGGGATCCAATGCCTGATCACAGATGGCCACCCTGATCAGTTTGGGGCTTTCCGTGTATTTGTGGCCCATGGTCCTGTTTAGATTTTAGACCTTTTTGGCGATGAAGGGAGCTAATTTTTATGCCTCCACTTATGAAGGAAATAACTCACAGCCTTTGGGGAAAAGCTTCCACTCTGTCAATAGAACCTTTGGGGGCCTGCTCTTAACCTCCTCTACACAGGACATGCCTGTGTCCAGCCACCCTTCTTTTTATTGTCTTGGTTCTCATATGATGGATCTACTCTCAACTGCTCTGAGGTATTGAACTGTACCCTCTCCCCATGCTGGGACCCTAATTATGGCAACACCTCCTTAACTATGCCACCCTCCACACTTCCTGTTAATACTACAGAGGGATGGCAAGGGGAGGACTTTTAATAACAACCTTCCCGCTGTGTTACAAAGACATAAGAGGGATGTTGGTCTTTCAGCCACAGTAACAGCTATAGCCTTGGGTTTGACTGCTGTGGCAGCAACAGCCACTGCAGCAATTTCCCTGCAAAATTCTGTACAGACAGCAGCGGCCTTAAACACTAAGTCAAGGTCAACAACCAAAGTGTCTGATACCCACCTCCAAGTTAATCAACTCCTCCACGTAGGCCTACTTAACCTCCATCACCAGGTAGCTATTACACAGGATGAAGTAAACAGCCTCGGGATTCAGCTCAAGTGACCTTCGACCCCCAATATACTTGTATTTGCCTCTCCCAATACCAAACAAATCTTAACCACTCCTCCGCCCTTAAGCTCCAAAGACAGTACCTTACTGGGACATAGAGTGATTATTACTCTCTCTTTTCCAACCATTACATCAAGAAATCACCCAAATTAGTGCCACAGGGTGGACATCATAACTTTGTCTGATATGACAGACTTGTTTTTAAAAAGGTAGCTCAAAAACCTCATCTCCATGTTGTCTCCAGAAAAGGTTGTCATATATGTATTATTCCTTCTGCTTTTGGGGGTAGATATTGCAATCTGGAAGGTCATATTACATAAAAAAAAAAATCAAATACACAAAAGTTGCCCCTCATGGAACTATTTAGCCTTGAAATAACAGAAAAGGGGGAACCAGAGGGAATAGTCTCTGTCCAGATGGTGTCACTAAAAGACAGGGAACATGAGAGGCACAAACGATTCTGGCTACTTGAGCAAACCTAAGTCCCTAGCATACTAGACAACACATGTTGGAGTCCCAGCACACCAGAGACCCACAGAATGGCGCCAAACCCCAGGGCATTGCCTGCTTCCTGCCCATTGTCTCCAGACATACTGCCAAGACATGCCGCACCCCCCCCATGTACACCCTCACATAATGTGGGTTGTATGCCATTCAGACTCATTGGATAACAGCACATTATTAATTAGCTGACTAGATAAAAATGCATATATCCCAGTGAACGTCCGTATTAAACTAGAACTGCCACCTAGTGCTGGTCTCTGGAGTCTGCTTCCTGGGTAACTTGTGACTCTGTCACCCTCACCCCCCTGAACTGCCAGTGCAAACCCCCACACATATACTAGGCAGTCACCACTGAGATGCCCCTCCTCTCCTCTCCCTCCTAAAGACTGGATACTGCATACCACATTGCATGTGCAGGTCATATTTTGTCTAACCAACCTACCCTCGGTGGGCATTCATTGGTTGCCTGCCCTCAGCTATGGGGAGCAGTGTGAATACTCACCCCACAAGTTTACCTAGCTCTCCGTGCTGCTATCCACCACGCATGTGTTCACTAGCTCTTTGAGATTCTGCTTCCAGTGGCTCACATACTTGGAAGTATGATTTCTGACCTCTTTGGGACAGAACCGTTACCTAGACAGACAGCTACAGTCTAATCCTCAAGTCTGCAAAGGGCAAAACATCTCCAGGGAAAGTGAAAGCCAAGCCTCCCATCTTTATATCAGAAACATCTCCAAGTCTCTGGAGGTCAGGGATTTCTACATGAGTATGGAAAAAATCCAGAGATTTTTATTTCCTCTCAGTCCACCTGTGGATATAAAGCATGCTGGCAGAAGGGTGGCTTTGAACTCAGAGAGATCCGGATGGATCTCTGCCTCCAGCATGTTAAGATTAAAGGTGTGTGTGCCACCATTTTCTGGCTTCTACATCTAGTGGCTGTTCTGTTCTCTGACCCCAGATAAGTTTATTAGGGTGCACAATATTTTGGGGAACACAATATCACCACATCACTCTGATAATTAAACAAAATAAACAAAAGCCTGAAGTGTGGACCTGGGAAGACAGCTCAGGGAATAAAGCACATGCCGTGCAAACATGAGGACCTGAGTTTGAATCTCCAGAACCCACACACAGCCGAGTGGAGTGGAGCATGTATATAATCCCAGCCATAGTGAGATAGGAGGTGGAGACAGGAGAATGCCTTGGAAGCTTTCAGGCCAGTCTGCCATCCATAGTAATAAACAACAAAGATATCTTAAACAAGATGGAAAGTAAAGACCAACACTTGATGTTCTCTAATCTCACATGCTGGTAGTGGCATGTGCATGCCCATACTCACACAAATATATATGCACACATCACACACACACACACACACACACACACACACACACACACACACATGCGTGTTCACTTGCTCACGTGCACATGACAAAAAATAAACAAAAGCCTGAATAGTGAGATATTGGAAGCACCCCAAAGGTGAAATCACTCCAAAGATGCATGCACAGTGCGCCCCACATTTTTCTCCAGCAATTCATATGGTGTCCAGTACACAGTAAGTGCTTAGTATAAACACATCATTAAATAAGGAAAGAGTGATCTCCTAAAAGCAAAGCGAGTGTGTGGCTAATGACATAATGTGTGTCAATGAGAAAGCTGAAACAAAATTATCAGTTTTCCCCTTTGCTGAGCAAGCACATTGCTGTTATACTTGAGGGTAAACTCCATCCGCCCCTGGCTGAGTCATTCATTCATCTGTCCATGCATTTATTTATCCAGTTAACAGATACTGATTGGGATTATTTAACTCTGTACCAGAGGGAGCACCTCATGAGTCTCAGCCTCAGAGATGCTCCCAGCACAGCCGGGGAGATGGACCCATGGGTGAATCATTTGCCATGCTGGGTTGTGATGTCAGTGTTGGGAAAGGTACTCAGGACTGGTGCTCCTGGGAAAGAACCAGTGAAATCACTCCAAAGATGCATGCACAGTGGATCTGCCTTCAGGGGAGGGCAAAGAAGCCCTCAATAGGAAGGGACACTCCAAGCCAGCGTTAGAGAGATAGAAAGCTGATTATTGGGTGTCTGGGAGAGCAGAGATGTATTGGTGAAATTATTAAGGCCACTCCACATAGTTAAAAGGAGATTTATTTAATGGCGTAACTTACAAATTAAGGAATAGGTAGGTCGCGGAGTCTGGGGAAGGTGTATCACAGTCCAGCGGTGTTCTCTGGAGCTCTGCTCGGTCCACCTCTCCAGTCCAGGGTCCCGCAACAGAGAGAGCGCCCGCCGATCCAGCTCTCAGATCCCCAGGCGCCTCCCTTGGCCCCACCTTGTAGGTGTGACAGTTGCCGAAGTCTCAATGGGGATTGGAACTTCCAGATCAAAGCTGGAATGGCTACCCACTACATCTCCCCCTTTTTGTCTAAATAAGAAAGTTCTAACCTAATACAAGACTATATACAAAGGAATGGTTATCAAATATTGTCCAGGAATAATGAGGGATAATGACCTAGATAAGATGGAAGTAAAACCAATGCAAACAATATCAAGCAAGAAACACATACTAAAGTCCAGAGAAGTATAGAGCATAGGTAAATGGCATGTTACAAAGATCATTTCAAAAGGTGTCCTATCCTAAAGAACCTGAATCTAATACTTAATATGTTCTATCTACTAAGTTGTAACTATAACTGCTAGTCTTCAATCCCATCAAAGACCTGAGAAGGAATATAATGGTACCTGAGAAATGGTAGATGGATGCAAGCAACTTTCGGGAATCTTGCGAGAGTAGACGGAGACAGCTGGCAGCCTGGACAGTCACCTAATGTTTCTCAGCATTGTTGGTGCATTCAAATTGGCTACAGGCCTAAAGTATCTGACAGACCATTTTCAGAAGCAGGAATTCTGAAAGACCATCTTACCCTGTCTTGGCAGAGTACAGTGGTCGCTTTCCTTGTGTCCCACTTGTCCAGAAAGGATAGCATTGCATTAGTACTGTCAGCCGTCGAGGCAAGGGCAGTTCTTTGCCCAGTAGGCCATTTTGTGCCAAGAAGACAAACTTCCAAATGGAAATGTCTTAGAAGCCCAACATTCTCTCGGGATCAAATTGGTGCAGCCAGGAGCAATTATGTCTCACATCAACAGAATTCTAAGTTATTTAAATGCCATATTCTCTAGGTCTATGAAGTGTTTGAAGATTACCTGTCCATCTGACCTATGTATCTGTAAATCTGGATAACCTAACTAACGTAACTATAGAGATGACAAGCATAGGTGACTATAAATCTATAAGTCTTATCTACCGAAATAACCTAAGGACTAAGGCTTCACGTAAACAAGGTAAACAGTCTATAAGCAAGTGTATGGTAAAGAACGATGACTTCAAAATTGTGACAATACACAAGATGTTATAACAGAGGTAGGAGTATATAGTGCGATATGCAATATGACAATAATCTTAAATATATATCAATATACCGAATATCCTAAACAGAAGTAGAACCTACATAAAGTATGACAGATATAAATTTACATTTGTATCAATATACAAGTATTTCAAATAAGAGTAGAAATATATGTACATTATAACAAATATAGTTCCGTATTTGTATCAATATACAAATTATCTTAAACAGGAATATAAAAATAGTTTACATTTGTATCAACATATAAGAACCCATAACAGTGCAAATTACAGTGCAAATTATTTAAGGCTACTATTTTACTAAATTTGTTTACTAGTATACATAATAATCTACCATAATATCTTATACCTATCCATTCCATTTCTTCTTTTCTTTTTTTTTTTTTTTTTGGAATACTGAGTTTAATATTTCCTTCCACCCCCAACCCTATAACCATCATCCATAACCCTGAGAATTATGAAACCTAAGGGAGAAGGGGCGTCGTTTTCTTAGAATTGCTTCCTGCTGTTTAGGGGGTGATGTTATCTATGTTGGGTACTGTGAGAAAGCTCAGATAGTTAAATCTCAGTTAGACTAACTGTAGGTTCTGCAGTAAGTCTTAGAGTAATGGGTAAGATTGTCTGAAATTCCGGTAAGAAGTGTAGTATGATGATGATTACCATGGCATCATTCTGGATTGGGTAGAGTTGTTGTTGGGGCCCCATCTTCCTTCTGGAGACTTCTGAGATTGCTATTAGAAAAACTTATTTGTTATCAAAATGGAAGATTTGGATTTAAAGAGGACATAGCATGTAAGAAAGGATTCTGAGAAATCAAGAGTAAGCATGCAGAGAATTAGAATCTAGAAGACAATGGTCCCTTTTATTGGTTTTCTTCTGTCCCACACCAGAGGGCTCTTCTGATATGGAACTGAAGAATCTCTCAAACTTTTCTTTTAGCAATGTGCTTGGGTTTAGAGAAGGAGTGAGCCAATTCCATCTCCAAAGCCAGCTTGGCTTATAATTGAATTGGAACCACAACTTTTCTAGATTGATAGAGAGATAGATGTTAGACAGTGAGATTTTACCGTGTGTAGATTGGTACCAATAGATTCTTTCTTTCTGCTGTAAACATCCGGATATCCAAGGCCTTATGATTTTTGGAAGATGGGTATTTCCATTATCCTGGAAAGACAAAAACAGAACCCTACCCCAACCTTGATTGTTAAATTTTTCTTACAACTTGTAGAGATGTCACATTGGTGGATGATCTTTTACTTCACCTCATCAAGGGGTTTTTCCTGTTCAAATCGAATTTTTATTAATTTTGTTGGTATCCATAGCTTCTCTTCTCCTGCAGAAACAAAGGCAAAACCCCTTCCCCAACGTAGAACATATCCAGGTTTCCATTCTGAGGTCAGCACATCCTTGAAATAAACCCAGTCCTTGTTTTCTTGACTGACTACACCAGTTCTCCTAATGCAGTACAATGAGAAGCATTAGCCTTGCACAGATTTTGCCTTGGCAGGCCCATAAATAACTAAGAACCTTTTAACTACCTAGAACATTCTAACCAATACATTTACACTGCTCTCTGGAGTTTCTAAAGCAGTTGCACTGTCCCCTTTGTTTGGGTGATTAGTGCAAGATTTAGTTTGGAAACATCTAGCAGGGAGTTAGAAATCCTTGGTCAACACTGAAAACTTGTGGTCAGTTAGCCCACTGAGGTGTTAACAAAATATGAGCAATTAAGGTACTGACTCTCTCCACTGAGAATTTTGTGTGTGACTGAACACTACAGTCTACATGTAGTTCACAGCCCTGGTCTCAACTAATAACATGAGGAGCAATTCACAGTGAAAATCAGTTAGTAAAAGTGGTATCTTGTGGTCAGACAGAGGGAGGCTCCACATCCTTCTCCCCAGAGTCACAAATAAGAGACCAGATGAGAAACTCTTTCCTCAAACAACCTCAGAAAACAACACAGAACACCCCAGCACCCATCCCCAGAACTCCCTGACACTTTCTGGTGACTAAAATCATGAACATGTGGAGCCAAGTTCAAGACACAGGTCTTGTAGGTTCTTACCATCTCCGAAGAACATAAGCTGCAGGAATCAATAGAACAGAGAAGGCCAAAAAGGCAAAGTTCACATCCTTGGCTTCTGGAAAGAGAGGTAGATAAAGATGTGTTGTAGAATATTATTTTAAGGTATGTTATTTTTGTTTATGTTGCATTTGTTTAACTCTGTGAAGCTGTGATACTTTGCCTGTCTAAAATACCTAATGGTCTAATATAGCTGAATGGCCAATAGCGAGCAAGAGAGAGAAATAGGCAGGGCTGGCAGGCAGAGAGAATAAATAGGAAGAGAAAAAAGAGCAGAAGAAGAAAGAGCAAGAGAACAAGGATGCTAGGGGCCAGCCACAGAGTAAGAGTGAAAGTCAGATTACAGAACTAAGAAAAGGAAAAAGCCCAAAGGCAAAAGGTAGATGGGATAATTTAAAGTTAAGAAAAGCTGGCTAGAAACAAGCCAAGCTAAGGCCAGGTAGTTAAAATTAAGAATAAGCCTTCATGTGTGATTTATTTGGGAGCTGGGTGGCAGGCCCCCCAAAAGAGTAAAAAAACAAATAACAACAAAGATGTTATGATGGTTAATACTGTCCATTTGACATGACTTAGAATCACCTAGGAGGCAATTTTCTGTGCACATCTTCAAAGATTCTCCACATTAGGTTAACTGAGGAAGGAGGACCAACTTTTACTGTGGATGGTAGTGTTCCAAGGGTTGGGGTCATTGACTGAGCAAGAAAGATAGAACAAACTGAGTACTCAGTGTCCCCTGTGTCCTGACTGCACACGCGCTGATGACCACCTGCCTCAAGCACCTGCTGCCATCACTGGTCTGACTTGGTAGACTGTATCTTTAAATGGTAAGTCAAAAATAAACTTTCCTCATTGAGTTGCCTTTTTAGGAGTATTTCAAGACAGCAACAGGAATAGTAATGAATGCAAACACTAAGAAAAAACCTTCTGGCAAGGGTCAAAGATACCTTAGGACTGATGTTAAAATCTGTATAGCAAATGCCATTTCTTATCAGAGATCTACTACCCAGCCTCTGCCTTGTATTAGCATTCTTATCACAGACATCCTCGAACACCAGAGTATTGAGCATAGCTGAAGCACAGTGTGATGAAGTGCATGGTGGTACACACCTGCCAGCCTAGCCCAGAAGGTGATGGAGCTAACGGGTTTGTGAGTTCAGACCAGTTGGGTTACAAACTGAAACATTGTCTCAAAAAGAAGAGAGAGAGAGAGAGAGAGAGAGAGAGAGAGAGAGAGAGAGAGAGAGAGAGAGAGAGAGAGAGAGACAGGGAGGGAGGACGGAAGGAAGGAAGGAAGAAAGGAAGGAAGGAAGGAAGGAAGGAAGGAAGGAAGGAAGGAAGGAAGGAAGGAAGGAAGGAAGAAGGATCCTCTCCCCCCACCAACCCCAGGCTTCAGGATCTAGGGACCCAAGTATCCCATCCCCTGGGCTCCATACTCCAGCCCACAGCCCCAACAGCTTTACCAGGCTGGTCCTAGGGACCCCAGGTAAGACACTACCCACTGCCCCCAACACTCCTTAAAGCCCATCAAACAAACCAAGACTGCACCCCCTCCCCTGGGCTTCATACTCCAGACTACAAACTTGGAAGAAAACTTCGGCTTTACCTGAGGTCAGGCAAGATCTAAGGCCCCAAGGCCCCAAAAACCTCCTCAGAGACACCTTACTGGACCTGAAGACTCACTAGTCACCAGAATCCCTGGCCACTTAGGCCAGAAGACCAGAGAGGAAACAGAAACCAAGGAACAAAACACACGTGCAACAAAGACAAACACAGGAAACAACACCTAGACCTATAATCATCCCAAACCCAGATGCGTAAATACCAGTGTAAGAACACAATCAATAACAGAAAAGGCAATATGGCACCACCAGAACCCAGCCATCCTACAACAGCAAGACCTGAACAATCCAACACAACTGAAGCACAAGAAAACAACCTTAAAAATAACTTTATGGAGATGATAGATGTCCTTAAAAAGGAAATGAAAAAAATCTCTTAAGGAAATTGAGGAAAAGACTATCTTAGTTAGGGTTTCTATTACTGTGAAGAGACACCATGACCACAGCAACTCTTAAAAATGAAAACATTTAATTGGAAAATATTGAACTGAGGTGGCTGCTTACAGTTTCAGAGGTTCAGTCCATTATCATCATGGTGGGGAGCATGGTGGCATGCAGGTCTACATGGTGCTGTCTACATCTTGATCAGAAGGCAACTGGAAATTGTTGAGCAAAAGAGGCCTCAAAGCCTGCCCCCACAATGACACACTTCCTCCAACAAGGCCATACCTACTTCAACAACACCACACATCCTAATAGTGCCACTTTCTTTGGGGGCCATTTTCTTTCAAACCACCACAAAGACAAAAAAAATCAAAGAAATCAATAAATCCCTTAAAGAATGCCAAGAAAGCTAAGAAAAAAATAACTGAACAGTTGAAGGAAGTGGTTCAAGACCTGAAAATGGAAATAGAAGCAATAAAGAAAACTCAAACTGAGGAATTTTTAAAATGGAAAATCTGAGTAAGTGAACAGGAGCTACATATGCAAGCATCACCAATAGAATACAAGAAATAGGAAAAAAGAATCTCAAGCATTGAAGATACAATAGAGGAAATAGATTAATTGGTTAAAGAAAATATTAAATCTAAAGAAATTCCTAGCACAAAACATCCAGGAAATCTGGGACACTACGAAAAAAACAATCCTAAGATAGAAATAGAAGATAGGAGAATCCCAGCTCGAAAACCTAAAGAATATATTCAACAAAATCATAGAAGAAAATTTTCCCAATCTAAAGAAGGACATGCCTATAAAGTTACAAGAAGCTTACAGAACACCACATAGACTGGACCAGAAAAAATAAGTCCCCATGCCACATTATAATCAAAACACTAAACATACAGAACAGAGAAAGAATATTAAAAGTTGCAAAGGAAAAAGACCAAGTAACATATAAAGGCATACCTATCAGAATTATATCCAACTTCTCAATGGAGACTCTAAAAGCCAGAAGGACCCGGACAGATGTCTTGCAAACTCTTAAGAGATCATAGGTGCAAGCCCAGACTACTATACCTAGCAAAACTTTCAATCAGCATAGATGGAGAAAATAAGATATTTCATGACAAAATCAAATTTAATCAATATCTATCCACGAATCCAGTCCTACAGAAGGTACTAAAAGGAAAACTTCAACCCAAGGAGGTTAACTATACCCACGAAAACAGGCAATAAATAATCTCATGCTAGCAAAATCCAAAGAAGGGAAATACACACACACACACACACACACACACACACACACACACACACACACACACACACACAATTAACAGCAACAAAATAATAGGAATTAACAATTATTGGTTAATAATATCTCTCAATATCAATGGACTCAATTCCCCAATAAGAAGACACAAGCTAACAGAATATATACAAAAATATGATCTGTCTTTCTGATGTATACAAGAAACATACCTCAACACCACAGATAGACATTTCCTCAGAGTAAAGCACTGGAAAAAGATTTCTAAGAAAATGGGACCTAAGAAGCAAGCTGGTGTAGCTATTCTAATATCTAAAAAAAATAGACTTCCAACCAAAATTAATCAAAAGACATGGAGAAGGATGTTTCATATTCACCAAAGGAAAATTCACCAAGAGGGCATCTCAGTTCCTAACATCTATGCCCCAAACACAGGGCACCCACATTTGTTTAAAAAAATCATTAAAGCTTAAATCACACATCAAACCTCACTCACTAATTGTGGGGGACTTTAATATCACACTCTCACCAATGAACAGGTCATCTAGACAGAAATTAAACAGAGAAATAATTGAGCTTACAGATGTTATGATTCAAAGGAACCTAACAGATATCTACAGAACATTTTATTCAAACACAAAAGAATATACTTTCTTCTCAGCACTTCATGGAACATTCTCCAAAACTGACCATATACTCTGTCACAAAAGTCTCAACATATTCAAGAAAATTAAAATAATTCTTTGTACCTCATCAGACAATCATGGATTAAAGCTATAGCCCACAAGGAAATAGAAGCAGTCACTAAGAGTCTCATAATTAAAGAAAGCCCGGGGTCAGATGGTTTCAGTGCAGAATTCTACTAGACTTTCAAAGAAGAGCTAATACCAATACTCCTCTAACTGTTCCACAAAACAGAGGAAACATTGCCAAATTCATTTTATGAGGCTACAGTTATCCTGATACCCAAACCACACAAAGATTCAACAAAGAAAGAATTACATACCAATTTCCCTCATGAACATGAATATAAAAATACTCAATAAAATATTCAAAAACCAAACCCAAGAACACATCAAAAAGATCATCCACCATGATTAAGGCTACATCCCAGAGATGCAGGGATGGTTCAACATACAAAAATTTGCCAATGTAATCTACGATATAAACAAACTGAAAGAAAAAAAACACATGATCATCTCATTAGATGCTGAAAAAATCTTTGACAAAATCCAACACCCCTTCATGATAAAAAAGTCTTGGAGAGATCAGGGATACAAGGAACATACCTAAATATAATAAAGGTAATATGCAGTAAGCCCATGGCCAACATCAAGTTAAATGGAGAGAAACTTAAAGCAATTCCCCTAAAATCAGGAACAAGACAAAGCTGTCCATTCTCTCCATATCTATTCAATATAGTACTCGAAGTTCTAGCTAGAACAATAAGATGACAAAATGAAATCAAGGGGATACAAGAAGAAAGGAAGTCAGAGAAGGGGAAAGAAAGGAGTCAAAGAATTGCTATTTGCAGACGATATGATAATATTCATAAGCAACCCCAAAAATTCTACCAAGGAACTCCTATAGCTGATAAACACCTTCAGCAAAGTGGCTGGACAAAAAATAAACTCAAAAAAATCAGTAGATCTCCTATACACAAATGATAAATGGGCTGAGGAAGAAATTGGGATAACAACACCCTTCACAATAGCCACAAATAATATAAAATATCTTGGAATAACTCTAGACAAGCAGGTGAAAGTTCTGTATGGCAAGAACAAGTCTTTGAAGAAATAAGTTGAAGAAGATATCAGAAAATGGAAAGATCTCCCATGCTCATGGATTGGTAGGATTAACATAGTAAAAATGGCCATCTTAGCAAAAGCAAACTACAGATTCAATGCAATTCCCATCAAAATCCCAACACAATTCTTTACAGAAATTGAAAGAACAATACTCAACTTCATGTGGAAAAACAAAAAACCTAGGCTAGCTAAAACAATCCTGTACAATAAAGGAACTTATGGAGGTTGTTTTAAGGATTTAGCAGAATCACTGTATAGGATAGATATAAGAATGGACAGCTGTTTTTTTAGAAGTACTTTGACCTTGAAGAATCCTTGTGGAAAACAGTAATGGTTTCGCTGAAGGGACTTCATTCAGCCATTCCATGACTTTGGTCACAAGACATCTCAGGTACACCTGAGGCTCTTGTATTATTGTGTATTGCACACAATACATAATAAAGGACTAGAGTTGTGGAGGTATGTGATGCTTTCCTTCAGTAAGACATGTAAATTGAGATTAGGAACCTTGGTATGAGGAAATACTTTGTGTAACAACAAATAAATATGCCTTTGTATGGCTTTTCAGGGTTCAGTCCATCAGAAGAGGCTGGACCTTCCTGTTGCCACATAGGCCTTAAAATTTCATCTTGGAAGTGTCTTCTTTCTTCAACTGACCCATGCTACATGGTGAACCCTGACAGGAGGTATCACCATCCTTGTACTGCAGAACAATAGTAATAAAAACCCAAATGATATTGACACAAAAACAGACAGATTGATCAATGGAACTGAATTGAAGACCTAGATGTTAATCCACATACCTGTGGACACATGATTTTGATAAAGAAGCCAGAAATATACAATGGAAAAAGAAAGCATCTTCAACAAATGGTACTGGTGGTTGTCAGCATGTAGAAGAATGCAAATAGATGCATATAGATCACTCCACACAAAACTCCAAATGGATAAAGACCTCAACATGAAGCCAGATACACTGCATCTGATAGAAGAAAAAGTGGGGAGTAGCCTTGAACACACTGGCACAGGCAACAACTTCCTGCAGGCACTAAGGTCAACAATTAATAAAAGGGACCTCATGAAACTGAAAAGCTTCCTTAAGGCAAAGGGCATCATCAAAAGGACAAAATGACAGCCTACAGAATGGGAAAAGGTCCTCACCAATCCCACATCTGATAAAGGGCTAATTTCCAAAACATGTAAAGAAGTCAAGAAACTGGACATCAACAAACCAAATAATCCAACTTTAAAAAGGGCATACAGATCCAAACAGAGAATTCTCAACAGAGGAATCTCAAGTAGCCAAGAAGCACTTAAAGAAATGTTTAACATCCTTAGCCATTAGGGAAATGCAAATCAAAGTGACTCTGACATTCCATTTTACACCTGTCAGAATGGCTAAGATCAAAAACATGAGTGACAGCTCATGCTGGCGAGAATGTGGAGCAAAGGGAACACTCCTCCACTGCTGGTGGAAGTAAAAGCTCGTACAGCCACTTTGGAAATCAGAAAACTGGGAATTGACCTACATCAAGACCCCACTATACCACTCCTGGGCATATACCCAAAGGACACTCTACTATACCATAAAGACACTTGTTCAACTATGTTCATAGCAGCCTTATTCATAATAACCAGAAACTGGAAACAACCTAGATGTCTATCAACATAAGAATGGATAAAGAAAATGTGGTACATTTACACAATGGAGTATTATGCAGCTGCTAAAAACAATGACAGCATGAAATTTGCAGACAAATGGATGAAACTAGAAAAGATCATCCTAAGTGATGTAACCCAGACCCAGAAAGACAAACATGGTATGTACTCACTATATATGGTGGTTATTATGGTAGATATTAGCCATAAATTAAAGGATACAATGCTACAATTCACAGACCCAAAAAAGCTAAGTAACAAGGAGGGCTCAAGGGGCATACATGAATCTTACTACGAAGGGGAAATAGAACAGACATCATCAGGACAAGTTTCTGTGGCCTCCTCATCTTGACACACAGCCCACAGGAAAGAACTACTGATTGGATTTAAACATCCAACGATCTCTGATGGGAACTTATAGCCTGACTAGAAAAAGTGCTGGCAGGACTGGTCCCTGGACTGTTATCCCCAGAAGATGATGCTGGCCCTAGCCTCCAAAGACCTGGCAAGCTTCCCATTCCTTGCCATGGGAACAATCCAGACCCTAATGCAGTCCTGAGCCCTGATAATGCTACTTCCCCTCTATTTCTGGGCTGCTGGCCCAGGTACAGGATATAAATCTGAACTGCTGACTCCAGGGTCTGAGTTGAGCTAGACTCCAACTTCCTCTCCTTCCCTAGCAAAGATCCTAGACTTCTCAGAATCCCAAGTGTCCAGTCACATGTCCTCAAGTAGGGAGAGCATGGGAAGAAACTTACCTTTCTCAGACAGTGTGACATTGAGCCTCCGGGGGACAAGCAAGGATCTGTGCAACACCACACACTGGTAGGTAGTCCCATGATCTTCCAGAGATGGCTTCAGAGTCAAGCAACTGGTAACGTTGAATGTGCCATCATCATTCTTGACCGTTGGATGAGTGATATTGCCCTCAGTAATTTCTTGGAACTGGGAATCCTTCAGGGTGTACTTCCCCCACTTTATGCTAAAGGCTTCTGGGTAGAATCCATCTAGCTCACATATAATATGTTCCTCTTCATCATTTCTCACTGTAGCTGGTTTCACAAATAATCTAATAGTTGGGTAAGCTGCCAGAGAAGAGAATCACACAGTTCAACCCACGTCAACCAACCCTGTTTCTCCTCACACCACACTTAACTAGCTTCTACCTCAGCTACACAGGCTGGCAAGAGAAACTAGATCATGTTCACTCACCCAAGATAGATACTCAGCTTCGTCAGGTACAGGCTTTCCAGCTACTAAGGAGGTCACAGAAGAAGAGATATGAATACAAAGACAGCGGTGTTATATAGCCAGTTCAAGATCAGACTGGGCAACTTAGTGAGCCCCATCTCTAAATTAAAAAAGGAGGAAAGAAAGAAAGAAAGAAAGAAAGAAAGAAAGAAAGAAAGAAAGAAAGAAAGAAAGAAAGAAAGAAAGAAAGAAAGAAAGAGTGAGAGAGGGAGGGAGGGAGGGAAGGGAAGGGAAGGGAAGGGAAGGGAAGGGAAGGGAAGGGAAGGGAAGGGAAGGGAAGGGAAGGGAAGGGAAGGGAAGGGAAGGGAAGGGAAGGGAAGGGAAGGGAAGGGAAGGGAAGGGAAGGGAAGGGATGAAAAAGACTGGGGATGTAGCTGAAAGGCAGAAAACTTGCCTTAGCATGTTCAAAGCCCCCATTTGATCCCCAACACCAAAGAAAGAAACAAGAAGAACTGTTATCATTTCCAGCAATGGGCTGGAGACCTGCCAATTTACCACACCAGACTGGGGGCTACCTGAAGGTAGACAGGGAAGCTCTTGCCAAGCATGGTGGACCCCTGGCAAGCCTCCAAGGTAGGCAAGTGAACACGTTGGGACTGTACTTGGTTAAATATTCTGGGTATGTTGTAACAGTGTCAGCAGGGTGCTGATATGCCATGACCCCCATTCACACAACAACTTTGTCAAGCAGAGTTTATGAAGCTATTGTCAGACTACTTTGATGTTAAAATATTTATAATACGTGGGCTGACTCGATTAGGCAATTCTTTTCATAACTCAATGTTGTTTCTGTTTCATTAGCATTAAAAAATTTTTAATTAGTAGGGCATTATCTTAGTCTATCTCTGGGGGGGTCCTCATATCCCCCTTCTGTTTAACAAGCATCTCTTTATAAGGTCTAATCTATCTATATAAGCATTTTGTAATTTACGTTTTACCAAGGCTAATTTTTTTTTAGCCTCAGCTGTTAAGTGTTTTGGACTGTTTAAATCTGAGTCACCTTGTAGAATTTTAAACAAATTAGTTAATTCTTGAGTAGGCAATCCAATTGTAGGCTGCAACCAGTTAATATCACCCAATAATTTTTGAAAATCATTAAGAGCATGGAGTCGATCTCTTTTAATCTGTACCTTTTGTAGCTGTTTATAATTGGTCATGTCTGATTGCTCTAATCCCTGTTTGGATGAGACCGTTTGCATAAACTGAAAGCCACTACTACCTCCTCTGATGATGAGACACAGTTAGCTTAAAGATACCCAGCAAAAGTTTGGTGTCATGTCCTCTGTCAGAATGAGCTGAAAGTCCTGCCTCCAATCAAAGGATTGGACTGGCCCAATATCAAGTTCCTGTAATAGTTCAACTGCTCAGTTCTGCTTCCCCCATACAGATTAAATGATACCCAATGTCTCTGGAAGCAAAAAGGGGAGTTGCAGTCCATCTTGCCCAGCTTAGAGAGACAGGCATCTTGGTGAGCTCTCAGTCACACCTCTCCTGTCTGTGAGAAAGAAACCTGGGACCTCTGATTATAGACCTGTGTAAGAGCTGAGGAAAGTGAATAAGAGGGTCAAGACTATAGGCTTCACGGTCCCAAACCCATAAACTCTCATGAGACTAAATCCTCCAGAGAAACAGGTGGACACTGTCTTAGGCCAGAAAAATGCATTTTTCAGCCTCTCATTAGCAGAAGTAAGTCAACTCATATTTGCTTTTGAATGAACAGACTTAGAGCCATATTACAGTTGGCAAGGCAACTTACCTAGACCAGGTTACCCCAAAGATTTAAAAACTTTCCAACCATTTGATGTGGCACTGAGTGTTGACCTCTTGCCTTTCTGTCAGAGGTTTCCAGAGACCATACTCTTACAATATGTAGATTACCTCCTTCTAGACTCTGAAACTGAAATAGATTGGTTCTTCTTCTGACTGGATTAACGGTGGGGCCTTGCATCTTTAATTGTATGGCCAATTATGTAAAACAAAGGATTGGTGAAGTCAAATTAATGGTCCTTATGACCAACTTTACCTCTTTAGAGCAAGATGAGCCCACGATTTGACTCATTCACTAAGACCAATGAGGAATGTGACAGGGCAAAGATTCCTCCATCTTATCTCAGCTTTGGTTTAACCTGAAACTGATCCCCACCTCTTTTTTCTACTCCCCACTATGAAAAATCCTCTGGGAAAGTACCCAACCCTATTCTAGAAACTTGGGGTAGAAATGCCCCAGCTAACTGCATGTTCTTGGCTTCTGTTAAACTGCTTGCTTGCTTCCCCCTGCAACTGCCAACGAGGGTGTAGTTTTTCTGTGTTCTTTGCTTTTAAAAGCTCCCTGTAAAATGTATTTGAGACTGTTCTGTGAGAACTGTTTCTCTCCAGGCACATGCTGGTGGGCTTATTACAGACTCTCAATTTGGACTTCAGTCATGCTGAGTGGTCTTTTGGTCTCTACCCCACAACAGTTGTCAAACTGTTTTAGCTTTCTTTAATTTGGGAGATTGAAGCCAATCCTGGCAAACACTTTACAACCAAGCTACAGACAGCTCCACATAAAAGGTGTAGCCCCAGGGTAACTCAAATTCAAGATCCTCCTGACTCATCCTCTTCAACATTTGCCTGTTGACATAGGTTGCCATGGACAGAAATGGAAACCACATGCCCCTGACTCTTTCACTCATGTTCTAACTCTCCCCTGCTTGGCCGTCCACATGTCCACCACTAACCCCAGCAACATCAGAACCACGGGGCACTTCCATTGAGTACTTACCCACAACTTCTAGAATGGTCTTTCCCTCTGCCTTTTCAGGGGTGACCACCAGCATGCATCGGTATTCTCCTGCTTCCCCCAGCTGGACCTCAGGCAGATGGAGTGAGGCATCTCCTGACTCCAGCCCCGACAGTGACACCATGGCTCCAGGTCGGAATGACTCTAGATGATTTCCATAAAACTCAAACACCTTGACCTCAGAGTCATCCAACTCATTCTTCCCAAACCAGATGATTCCCACAGTCTTGATGTCAAGTTGTGGGGAACCAGGGATTTTGCAGGCTATGGTGACATTGTCATGTAGGAATACCATCTGTGTCGTCCCTGCCATCTCCACTTGCAACCTACCTATGGCAATAAAAGAACCAAGTTACAGGAGGCTCTTGGCACCCCATCACTGGGATGGAATGAATAGCCCTTAAGGAGCAGGGATGGGCTCAAAATAGCTCTTACTTTCAGCCTCTTGTTAATCCAAATAGATCCCTTATCCCTGTCCTTTCTTTTTGGACTATTTTGACTGTTAGGGATCCATGCATATTTTAGAATCAACTAATTAATTTTTAATTGAAAAATTACATTTATTGGGTGTGTACATGTGTGTACCACAGCAGCTATGTAGATCAGAGGACATTTACGGACGTTCTCTCCTTAAACCATGTGGGCTCCAGGGAGCAAAGACAGGTCATCAGGGTTGGTGGCAAGCGCCTTAAACTGACAAACCATCTAACCAGCTCCAGCTTATCAACTGCTACAAAAAAAGTCTGCTAAGGTTCTGATAGGAATTGTGATCTGTAGAATCTGTAGATAAAATTGGGTGTACTGTCATTTTAAGGATGTTGTATTTTTCTATCTATTGACATGTTTGGTGATGTGCTATGTACAGAATTCTTCATCCTCCCAAAATTTATATGTTGAGGCTGAATTTCCAGCATTTAGAAGTAAGGACCTGGGAAGATGATTAGAGCGTGAGGCTGAAGCCCTCTAAATGGGATTAGAGCCATTGACTAGAGCCACTGTGTGAACCAGGAGCTAGACCTCTCTGTGTCATAATGACAGAACAGGAAGTTATCCTAGAGCTGAACCAGCCATCCCCTTATCTTAGGTTCGCAAGCTGCAGAACTAAGACCTTTAGAATGCTACCAAGAAATGAAAACTGCCCCTCCCTGCCTCTGCAAAAACTTTGGTAAAGATGCCTCGATGAGACAAAGCTGGAGTTTTTCTCCAACTTTGCCCCTAGTTCCCACATCATAGATGGAGGAGTAAGGCCCCGGCAAGGGATGCGATCAAGGCAAACTGTACACTATAGGTCTTAAATGCACATCTTCAGAATCAGTCAGCAAATCTACACTTTGCAGAGCTCCCATCGTCATGGCAGGCCATAACCACAGAAAGTGGGGCCCCAGGAGACCACCAGGGATGGTCAGAACTATAGCAGTCTCCCCATTCCTGCCCATTCCATCCATATCCTACCTGCCATGGGCACGCACCGCAGAAGCACCAACAGCAAATTTGCCATGAAGTCAGCCTGCCACCCTGCCACCCATGATGAGCCCATGGTGCTGAACTGGACTGGCATGGAGGTCTCCTTCTCCTCCATCAGCTGAGTTACTGGGCAGGAGTTCAAGGTGCAAGTACCTTAGTGAAGCTCCTACTGGATACAGAAAAGAAAAAAAAAAAAAAAACTTTTACTCCTCCCTTCTCTGAGTTATGGCCGAGTTTCTTCCCTGTGAGCTCGCTGCCTCCCCACCTCCTTATGTGGGATATCCCACCCCTTGCTAATCAGACAGTGACTAAGAACAATAAATGGGCCCTCTTGTAAATAGGGACCTACTCTTTCTTCTAGCTTGGGAATGTTAACTGCTTCAGGCTAAAATTGATCAGAACTGACAAGAAGGTGAATTGCTACTCAGGCAATAGATGACAATGAATCTCAGTCTTGGGACATGGGAGCTAGGCATCCCTAGTCTCTAATCTCTGTGGTAACTTTGAGCTGCAGACAAGCAGCATGCCTGGAAACCAGTGCTTCTGCCCTTCCAGGAAGGCCCAGTCCTTAGGAATTCTTCACACGGACTCTCTTACCAATACAAGTCCACTCAGCACTCCTGCTCTAAATTATGTGTGTGTTTTGCAAACTGTATTCTTTCAACATTGCCCAGTTTGTCTTTTTCTTCCAAAAAGTTATAAGGAGCTATGGATAAAGCTTAATGGTGGCGTGCTTACCTCACATGGGCAATAACCTGGGTTTCCTTCCTGACAGTGCTGAAAAATAAAAAGCAAGATGGTCTGAGGAGATGGAACAGAGGGTAAAGCATGAGGACCCGAGTTCAGATCCCCAGCACCCACATAAAAGCCAGGCATGAGTAGAGGCCCTCCCATCATCCCAGCAGGCTAGAGGTGGAGACAGAGGATCTCTGGAGCAAGCTGTCTTGCTAGATTAGCTCTGAGATCAGCAGATGACTCTGCTTCTGCAAATAATGTGGGGAATGATTGAGGAATGTAGTAACCTCTGCTTCCACACATGCGCCAGTGTACAGATATGTACTCACCCAAATGTAGACCACATAAACAAGCACATGCAAAAAACAGAAAATTACAACAAATATGCATTTTCCTGATTTTAATATCATTTTAAATGAACGTATGCCAACACTGATTCAATCAATATCTTCCAACAGGTACTATGCTGGGATGTAGGAGGCATCATGCGCTCACAGATAAGTCCTTGTGCTCACAGATAAGCATGAGGGAAACCAGGAGTGTTAAACACACAAACTTGTCTATTGTTAACTGTTTTTTATTATCTACAGTGGCTGCCCCTTAAGCAACCGCTTCAGCCTCAAGGGCTGCAACCTGAGGGGACTCTGTTCCTTCAGGCACAGACTCTTTCAAAGCTACTAAGGGAAACTTTATCTAAATCTAAAGAATTCACGATTCAAAGGTTTCGGTGGAATTCTGCTCCCTCAGAGAGGCTGAACAAGTAGTTAATCTTCTCCCTTTGCTGGTATCTTCCAAAAAAAAATCCCATGTCCTTTTCTCAGCCTCCACTTAAAACCCTTGCTACATATGGTTTCTTCCTACTACTTGCTGTCAGCTACTTGCTGACTCAGCCTCCTGCTTGCAGGTTAATTCTATTTACTCAAACACATTTTTGAATTGTTAGCAAAAGCAGTAGGAAAAAATGCAACACACTTTAGAATAATATTCCCCAACAGTTGTTTCTTCAAAGGAAGGATGTATAACTAGTTTTCTGCTTAGAAGGCTAGGAACAGATGTGTTTTATAGCCTGGTGACCTCTGTGGTCTCTGTATGGCCAGGCCATACTGGCTGCCCCAGACCCTTATCTTGGGCTTGTTTATCTTGAGGCTGTTTCCTCAAAGGCAAAGTGGAGAATAACAGAGGAAGGTACCTCACATTGACCTCTAGCCATACCCAAATACACAAATGTGCAGTCTTACATGCCTGGCACAGAGGCCAGCTGAGGATGTCCGTGTAAGCCAGAAAGGAAGTGTCTGAATCAACTATCCTGTGTGTGCTCGGAATTTGCAGGCGTGGTGTCCTGGGTTCTCTTTGCCAGTATTGTCTGACTCAACTCTCTGACCCCAGCTAGTTTTCCTCTCGCAAATACTATATAAGATGCTGTACAAACTTGTTTGGCATAAGTCACCAGTTCATACAAGACCTACTGGTCCCAGCCATTGCTTTTGTCTTCTTTATTTATCATCCCCAGTCCTCCCAACTCAACAACTCGCCTTTCAGGACCCTTATTCCTGTCGGTTCAGGATGAGCAGAACAAAGGGGGAATGAATCATCATGAGTGAGTATGGCCATGGTAAGTACATAAGAATCAGATGAGGGGACGGTCCAAAATTAAGTAAGTAGAGTAAAGGGAAAGGGAGGGAGGGGAACAACTGGGATAGCTGGAGTCTAGGGAGAGCTTTCTTCTTTTTCCTTTTCCTTTCCATGCTCTGTTCACTTCGGCATCCTTGTTCTTGGGATGTATTGCTGAAGCACTGAGAAAAAGCCTTTCATTTCTAAAAATCTGCCTTTGGGTCCTCGAACAAGGTTCTGTACACCTAAAGACATAGATTCCCCCCGCCCCCATTAAAGCCTTCTGCCCTTCATTTGCTAAAGCCAGAGGGGCCTGAACCCTCTGAAACATTATTTTGAACAAAATGTTTGGGTTTTTTTATTTATTTATTTATTTATTTATTTATTTATTTATTTATTTATTTATTTATTTATTTATTTATTTATTTATTTATTTATTGGTTTTTTGAGACAGGGTTTCTCTGTGTAGCTTTGTGCCTTTGCTGGATCTCGCTCTGTAGACCAGGCTGGCCTCAAACTCACAGAGATCCACCTGCCTCTGCCTCCCGAGTTCTGGGATTAAAGGCTGCGCCACCACCGCCTGGCTGTTTTATTTTTATTTTGATACAGTTTTCATACAGTACATACTAACAATGAGAACTAACACTTTGAGGTTGACAGATTTCAAGGAAAAACAAAAAACAAAACAAACAACAACAAAAAAAAAAACCAAAGAGCACTTACAGCTGCTGCCACCAAAGAGCTCTTCTGCTGTTTTAAGATGGTCCATAGGGAGTCACACTATTAGGATGTGTGGCTTTGTTGGAGGAAGTATGTTTCTGTCTGTCTGTCTGTCTGTCTGTCTGTCTGTCTCTCTCTCTCTCTCTCTCTCTCTCTCTCTCCCTCTCTCTCTCTCTCTCAGGACCCCTGTACTGTGGGGTGCTCCCTTCTGGACACAGATCACACCCAAATACCAATTTTCAGCACAAAGAGATCTTTTATAGAGCTAGGTGAAAAGAGACTGGCTGAATCTGAATAAGGCAGAAACAGCAGGGGTGGGGGGTGGAAGTGGGAGGATGGGGGTGGAAGGAAGGGAGTGGGGAGTGAGGGGTGTGGGGTGAGGGCGTGGCTCTAGAGCGGGACTAGGATGCATTGCTTCGTTCTGATTGGACATGTTGGTCAGTATAGAGAAATAAGAAATTTTGATAGCTGGACCTTGGTAGTCAGCCCCAGGAGTGAGGAAGTCTAGCGACTTAGCAAGGAACAAAGGCATGGGGAGGGAGCAAGACCCTGCTGGCGCCATTTCTGAGCCTGCCAGAGCCTTTCACTCTCTCTATTCTGCCTCCTGTGGATCATGACATATCTCAGCTACTGCTCCAGCACCATGTGTTCCTGATGTAGAGAGATGGAAGGCAGTAAGAGAGGCTTGTTCTGACCTTGTGTACCTGCTGTAGAGAGACAGAGAGAGAGAGGCTTGGACTTTAGGCAGAACTTGAACCATGTTGATTCATGGCAGTATGCAGGTGGCCACCCAGCATGCCCTCAGTGACCCAGCACCAGCGGCCACATGGGACACATTGCTGTGACACATTTCCACTGTCGCCATGAGTTGAATATTCTCCCTATACCCATGCTCTATGCCCCTTTAGAAAGTCTCTAACGCCTTTAATTCCAGCACTTGGGAGGCAGAGGCAGGCGGATCTTTGTGAGTTCGAGGCCAGCCTGGTCTACAGAGTGAGAACCAGGAAAGGTGCAAAGCTACACAGAGAAACCCTGTCTCGAAAAAAAAAAAAAAAAAAAATAGAAAGTCTCTAAATGGACCACTCTCTGTGTTTCTTTCTCTGTGTCTCTCTGTTTCTCTCTGTTAGTTATTATTCAGCACTGTGAGGTCATATAGGTGGAGGTTCTTTGGAGTCTGAGATTCCCCAGGTTCAGGTTGCATAGCTAGGAGCATGTGGGCAGGAGAGAAGGAATCAAAAAGGAGGTTTTAGAGTTTAGGTAAAAAAGCTTGGGGATAAGGTAACTGAAAGAATGATAAGCGGTGCTGGTTACCAGCACTGGTTACCATGTAGAAAGGTCATGGTCACACTACCCCAGTATCAGTATCAGAGCTTTATCAGGAGAAAGAGGAGTGGAGAACCAGGCCTGGGGAAGGAGCACATGCAGAGAGAAAGATGGTGGGGGGAAGAGAGAACATAATAGAGAGAGAAGATGGAGTCTGAGTCACAGCTCTTTAAGGTGCAGGTGGGCTTACAGAGCTACATCACGCATGTGCAGATTGCGTGACCACACCACACATAGGTAATCACCAGTGCACACTGATGATGTAAGACGCAAGACCCTTTGCTTGCCTCCTGAACTGCACATGTGCAGTCATGCAGCTGGAGTGAGGGCAGAATTCTAACATTAACTCTTTTCATTTGCCCATTCACTGGCAGAAGTTAGATAATTCCCATAAAATATCAGGATCCAAGGAGCCAACATAAAAATAGGTAGCCATTTTTGTTATCTAAGGGATATTTAAGGCATTTCTCAGAGGAGGAGTGGGACTGATAGGAGGAAGCCTTATTTCCCATGACCACGGCAGAGAGAAAAAATTTAAAAATAAAAAAATTTAAAAAAAAAAGCATGATCAAAGACTGTAGTCTCAGGCATCCCCAAGATCAAGTGAGGACTGACAATTGGTGCAAGTCAACCAATGCTTTGTCAAACAGAAGGGTGAGGGCCAAGGTGTGCATAGCCAGAGGACCCCCCAGAGGGTCCGACAGCATTCAATGCTTCATCAAGAGAAAATGAGTGGGTGTATGCAGCCCAAGAACCCCCCTGGGGATCCGACAGTGATAACAATATCTCAGACTACAGTCATGGGAAGTGGCTAGAAATTGAAGCCTGTTTACACTGGATGGAAAGGGAAAACTCACCAATTGAAGCAGCCGGTGTTGTGCGAAGTGGTCTGGTGGTCGGGCAAATAAAAAAGTGGGCAGTTGTAGATTGAAATAAACCTCAGTACAGGGTCCCAGATGCACAGCACTGGGAGGGCCTGCTTCATCTCAGCACCAGTGTTAGTTATTATGCGGCGCTGTATAATTCATTAAGTGGCGCTGTTTACCATGCGAGAGAAGCCACAACACAAAACAAAACCCACTGTAAGAGTTTATTAGGGGAAGAGAACAGAGGGGAGTGCTTAAGCCTATGAGAAATGGTCATACAAGGAGGGGGGGAGGGGTCTGTGACCCAATTTTTATGGATTCCCCCACACATGAGCATATGAGCTACGCCACACATGCACATAGATTACATGATCATGCTGCGCACAGATTATGTAGGGTGTAAGGCCCTGGAATGACTATAAGCATCTTGCCAGCGCATGTGTGGCCATATAGCTGTGGGGGAGTGGCCAGAAATTCCAACACTCTTTCTGAAGGTATACTTTCTCTTTGTCCCAGTATTCAGCTTTGTCCCACCTACTGGCTCCCAAATATCCACAAATAGACTTACTATTAGTTATAAATGCTCAGCCGATATCTTAAGCTTGTTACTAATTAGCTCTTACAACTTTAATTAACCCATATTTCTATCTATGTTCTACCACATACCTTATCTCAATACAACAAGGTCATCTCTTTCTCTGCGTCTCCTCAGGACTCCTTGGCTCCACCCTTCCTCTTCCCCCAGCTATTAGAATTCCTAGCCACTCCCCCAGCTACATGACCATGCCTGCGCTGTCCAGTAGCCAGGCAAGATGCTTAGTCATCCCAGGGCCTTACATCCTATGCAAGGTGTGTGCTGTGTGATCACGTAACTTGCACACAAACTGATCACGTGATCTATGCGCATGCATGGCATAGCTATGTAAGCTCATATGCATGTGGGGGGGACCTTGAAAGTGGGTTCCACCTATATCCCCCCTCTTCCTGCACAGTCATTCCATTGGCCTATGCACACCCCTTCTATTCCCTTCCTTTAATAAACTCTTATAGTGGGTTTTGTTGTGCATCATGTCTGCTCTTGCATGGTAAACAATGTCGCTTAATAAATAACATTGCGCTGCTTAATAAATAACACCGCATTCTCTCTGCCCCAAAAATCCTGCCTAGCTATTGGCCAATCAGTTCTTTATTAACAATGAGAGCAACACATCTTCACGGTATACAGAGAATTATTCCATAGCATCTCTCTCTTGTGTGGTGTGATCTCTGCAGCATTCCTTGACCCCAATCCGCCAAAGTACTCTTCTATGGCAGAAACTCTAACAATGTGTCCTCTTACACCTCTACACATAAGCTGGTAGTCTTTCAGGTATCATTCTTAACTCTGAGAGAATATAAAAATGCATGGTAGGGGGCATTATAGCTGTTTTCTGTTGAGGAGGATCTGTGTCAAAGGCAGCCACTCTGAGTCTACAGAAGAAGCGGTCTTCAGGTCATGTAGCAGGGGGAGAGTCTTAACTTGATCAGCTTCAATGAATCAGGCAATTGCTGTCCTATATTCCTGAAGAGACTTGAAAACAGTTATTAGTTATTGGTTATAAACAGATGATTAAGGAGTAAAAAAGATATTTTCCCAGGAAGGTTGAGGAGTAGGTGCGGGGTGTTTACCCACCAACCCCACAGTTCCCCAGAGTTTTCTTGAGTGAGAGTAACAGGAAATATTAAATAGAAGAATTTAGATTGTGGAGATGAAAATAAAGGATAGCCTCTAAAGGGACTGGAACCTATTCCAACCAGCCCTGACGGTCTCTGCCCCAGGGTATTTATAGAAACACCAAGGGGTGGAGCAAAGGACCTCCCCCCAGCACAGCCAAGTGCCAACCATCTCAGATACCTGCACGCAGGCCCGTGATCCTAATCATCCTCTCTATGCGGACCTGCTGGGTAAAGCTATGAGAAACCTAAAAACGGGTTCCTACAAGTAGGGAGAAGTGGAGGCAGGAAAGATAGAGTGGGACAGTGAGAGAGCTTGTGTGGAATGTTATGTTTGGGTATATGGTGAAGTTCAGTAGCTAAAACACTTAAAAGACAGATATGACGTCTTAAGTATGAGGACAGTAGGAGGAAAGAGTGATAAAGGTGATAAATTGAGTTACCAGAAAAGGCTAAAGCCAACTCCTTCTTTTGCTGATGGGCAGATCTCTAGATCACCACAGACTGATGGCAGTAAGCATATTTCTCAACATTTTTCTATTTAAAAATAGAATGGTTGTTAAGAAGCAGAAGTTATAAAGCAAGATAACCAAATTAAATGAGCTTTTGGCTTTTAGAATTTCTTAGAAACTATCTCTCAAAAAACAGAAAAACAAACAAACAAAAGGCTGATGGTTGTGGTATACACCTTTAATTCCAGCACTTGGGAGTAAGTAGGCAGATCTGAGTTCAAGGTCAGCCTAGTCTATGTGATGGTTAACATTACATCTAAAGTTTAAACTTGCTATGCTTGAGAGACCAAAACAAAAGATGCCTCTAACATGTAACTCCCCTAGCTTGAGCAGGCTGCGGCAACCCAATTCCCAGACATTAAACACTATATTTTTTCCTTTCTCTTTTTTTTTCAAGACAGAGTTCCTCTTTTAACAGTCCCGGCTGTCTTGGAACTTGCTCTGTAGACCAGGCTGGCCTCAAACTCAAGAGATTCACCTGTCTCTGCCTCCCAAGTGCTGAGATTAAAGGCATGTGCCACCACTGCCAAGCAACACTATTCTTTTTTTTTTTTTTTTTTTTTTTTTTTTTTTTTTTTTTTTGATTTTCGAGACAGGGTTTCTCTGTGTAGCTTTGTGCCTTTCCTGGAACTCACTTGGTAGTCTAGGCTGGCCTCAAACTCACAGAGATCCACCTGCCTCTGCCTCCCGAGTGCTGGGATTAAAGACATGCACCACCACCACCAGGCAACACTATTCTTAAAATTGACTGATCATGAAAAAATTTGCTGTTCTTGCAAGATAGTAGGTTATTAAGACTGCCATTTCTGCTTCTGTAATCAAGCTTGCATATTCTGCTCAAAAAGACAATTGTAAGACCCGAGATTATAAAGTGGTTTTTGCTTTTATAAGTCCTAGGCTGATATGGCTAGTGGCTGCATCTCAGATGCAGGTGGGATCACTCTTGGATGCAGTCCTGGCACCAGGCTTGGCTGCTAGTACCTAACTTAAAAGCTTCTTTTTAAGATTTATTCATGCTTATGGTGAATCTCTGAGCAGCCCAAAACCATTAACAGTCTACAGACAATTCCAGGACATCCAGGGCTACATAGAGAAACCCTGTGTTGAAAACCCAAAAAGAAGGAGAGGAACAGGAAGAGAAGGAGGAGGAGAAAATATTTCCAAGCACCACTGCCCAAGCCTAACCCTGTATACTATGTGTCTCTCTGTGTGACTGTGTCCCTCTGTGTATGTTGCTGTGTGTTTCTATCAACTCTGTTGGTTGGAAAAACAGATCTAAAATGGAAGAGAGAGTGAGCCCCCCAAGACTGAAGCTGCAGCTACCCCCGAGGCAGCACGTGATTTCTCACAGGCTCACGGGGTACCTCACCCACAAACCTGTGGTGCCCCACTTCTGGCAGTGACCTGCAGTGTCTGACTTCTGTTGTTGCTATGGCAACACCAGCAGCGCAATCCCACCCCCAAGGAGCTGCAGCTGTAGCTACCTGTTTCCCTATAATAATCAATGGCTTCCTTTGGTACAAGACCTCCACCTTGCCGGGGCGGTGGTGGCGCACGCCTTTAATCCCAGCACTCGGGAGGCAGAGGCAGGTGGATCTCTGTGAGTTCGAGGCCAGCCTGGTCTCCAAAGCGAGTACCAGGAAAGGCGCAAAGCTACACAGAGAAACCCTGTCTTGAAAAAAACCAAAAAAAAAAAAAAAAAAAAAAAAAAAAGACCTCCACCTTGGTTAATGACCTGTGGCTTCTTGTTGGGGACTCAAATCCTTTTGGCCCAGCCAGGTCACCAGAGAAACCTCAATTTTCTGCCTGTTCTCTCAGCCCTGCCACAGGGAGAAGGAAATAGTGTTGGCTATTCATGCTGACTTGGGCAGCGGTGGCACATGGGGGTGGGGGGCGTGGAAAGCGCGCGCACACACACACACACAAACACACACACACACACACACACACACACACACACACACACACACACACACCACCTTCCTTTGCAAGTCCCGCCCCTGGAGATCTCCAGCATCCAGGGTCTAACTCTAGACTACTCTGGCAGCTAGGCCTGACCTTGAGGCTCAAAAGTGGTCAGTGCCTCCCCCCAGATCCAACAGCCAGGCACAACCCCCCAGATTTCCCTAATAGCTGTTCCCCTATTCCCAGCCCCTCAAGGCCACAGAGTGACCAGGCCCCACCCTATAGAAAAATAATCCTATCTATCCTTGATCTTGCCCCAAGATAATCCCTCTAATCTGAGGCCACCCTGTAAAACTCCACCCCACCCCACGCCCACAGAAACCCTATATAAGCCCTGCCTTCTGCTCAGTTCTCTGCTGTTTCTCACTGAAGCAGAGGCAACCACCCTCCTGGTTTTTCTCTCCCAATAAATCTCTTGTGTGAGGTCTGTTGTGCAGTGTGACTTTGTGGTATTCCTTGGCTCCCAATTGCCAGGATACCTTTCTGGCCCAAGATGTAACACTTACAAATAGTTCCCAGAGCCCTAAGCTTCCCCTCCTGCTATTATGTTTGGGGAGGGGGAAGTAATTCCCAGTCCCATGGGGCAGGAGAGTAGAGGTTTAGTTCTTTCTCTGTTCATGGCTTATGTCTCTTGTTCTCTACCAGTGACTAGTATAATTGGAAGACCCAAACCCTCCATTTTCAGAGATACCTTGGACCCTTATCAGTCTTTTGGGAATTGATTTAAGGTAAGAAAGCACTGAATTTTTTTTTTTTTTACCAAATATTATTGTGAGGATTAAAAGCATCAGCCAGAAGACCTACCAGCTTACTTAAGGTTACTCAGGTTACATGATGAATTACCTGGTTTCTGGAAAGGCTCTGTGAGACATATCAGATATTTATCCCCATAGTCCCAGATGTACACAAAAACCAGTGAGCCACTAATATTGCCTTTGTCATGAAGTCCAGGCATCAGGAAAAAGCTCCAGAAATTAGAGGGATTTGAAGAGATTAATGGGTTTCAACTTTTGGAAATTGCTCAAGATGTTTACTACAGCTGAGATTCAGCCAAAGACAGACAGAGAAAGACACTCTTCTATGTGGTGATCACTGCTCTTGGGGAAACAGACAGGAGAGGAAATAGACTAGGATAAGGGGTTCATGGACTTGCCAGCATCATTTGATGGGGCCCTGGGTGCAGATCTGTTAAATCCACAAAAATATCCACAAGACACCTTGCTCATAGCCCCAACTACTGAGGACAGATGACAAAAGGCATTTTTAGACAGCCACCAGGCCCTGGGGTGAGACTTCACCAAGAAGGCTCATCTGGGTGTCCCTCGAGCCACATACCTAGGCTACCGTAGAGGAAGACAAGCAAATGCTTTTCCATGACTGCATTTCAGTTATCCTTCAAATACCCACTCCCACATTGACCTACCGGTGGTTGGATGCTGCTGGACACTGATAATGGGATTTTCTGAGATAGCCAAGCCCCTCTATGCCAACACTAGGAGTACATAGCCTTTGGCATGGAACAATATCGAGCAGAGGGCCTTTAAAGGCCTTAAAAAAGTGTCTGCCCCAGCCCTGGCCCTCCCAGACACTACTAAGCCATTCTACTTGTATGTGGGTGAGGCCAGAGGTATAGCTTAGGGGGTCCTCATCCTCACACAAACCCTAGGACCCTGAGAAAGACCAGTAGTGTGTCCACCCAAGAGACTTGACCCAGTCACAGCCGGATGGATGGCATATATAAGGTTCATAGCTGCCACTGCCCTGCAGGTAAAGGAAGCTGACAAATTAACTTTAGGGCAAGAACTGTTCCTGACAGCCTCCCACTCTGTTAGGTAGGGCCCTCTTGGGGAGAGCTCCTGAGAGATGGATGTCTAATACCCAGCTTACCCAATACTTCTGTATTAACCCCTCATTCAGTCTCATAAGACATTGGGCAGTCTCCTGCCAAACAATGATCCCCTGAATGACTGTGTTGAGGTGACTGACCTGATCCAGTCTGTTAGGCCTGATCTGACTAACATCCCATTGGTGACACCAGACAAGGTATTATTCAGTGATGGGAGCAGTTTCACCCAAAAATTGGGATCAGGTATGCAGGGGCAGTGGTGGCGACCCAAGGTAAGACTACTTGGACACAATTTTTAGGCAGAGGAATCTCAGCTCAACAAGCTGAGCTTTTATCTTCGACTCAAGCACTCCACAGTGGAGAAGACAAGGCTATCACCATATACACTGACAGCAGATATGCTTTTTCCATGGCCCATGTCCATGAGGCTCTTTACAGGGAATTGGGATTGCTAACTTCTGCAATAAAAGAAATCAAAAATAGAAAAGAAATCTTAAGCCATTAGAAGCTATATGGTTAGGGTTAGGTGGTGGCCATTGTCCATTGCAAAGGATACCAGAAAGGTAATTAATTCCCCAGAAGACAAAGGCAACAGAGCATCTGACTTAGCTAACCAGGAAGCCTAGAACCAGTGGGGCCTCTCCAAGTCTTGGTAGTCCAGCCTACTGGACCTCACAGAATACACCCCAGAGTGAAATTGACTAGGTGAAATAAGAACGGGCCAAAAAGGATAAACAAGGATGGTGGGTGCTGCCCAACCTTAATTCTGGGAAGGTGACTGGTTATGCATCTCCACCAAGTTACCTACCTAGGAGACACAAAAACTGCTCAACTCCAGAACCAGGTATTATGTTCCAAATTTGGAAAGCCTGATTAAAGGCATCACTTTTAAATGTGCCACCTGTGCTCAGGTAAACCCCAAAGTGGGAAGGAAGACCCCACAAGTGATCTGGGCTCAAAGGAATGAGCCTGAGGAATACTGGGAATTGGACTTTACTGAAATCTGAACTACTGTTTTTGGCTGTACATATTTGCTGGTGTTTGTAGGCACCCTCTCAGGATGAGTCAGGCCTACCCCACCCATACATAGAATGCTCCCCTAGTTACTAAAAAGCTTCTTCAGGAGTTAATTCCTAGATTTAGGCTGCCTCCTGGCTTTGGGATTCAACAATGGCCCGACTTCCTCAGCCAAAGCATCTCAAAATATGGCAAAGATATGAAATATTAATTGGAAATTACATTGTGCATAAAGGCCATAGAGCCCAGGTCAGATAGAAAGAATGAATAGAACTCTTAAGGAGTTCTGACCAAATTGTTTCTGGAAACTGGCAAAAAAAAATTGGGCTATCCTCCTCCCCTTTGCCCTGCTCAGGGCCTGATGTACTCCTTACTGGGAGGGGCCTACTCCTTTTGAAATCAAGTTCGGGAGACCACCACCCATCCTCCCCTGCTGTGGGATGTTCTGTATGGCAAATATGTTGCTCTGATTGGTTAGTAAATAAAACACTGATTGGCCAGTAGTCAGGCAGGAAGAAGTATAGGCGGGACAAGGAGGAGAAGAATTCTGGGAAGTGAAAGACTGAGTCAGAGACTGCCAGCTGCCACCATGATAAGCAGCATGTGAAGATGCCAGTAAGCCACAAGCCACGTGGCAAGGTATAGATTTATGGAAATGGATTAATTTAAGATGTAAGAACTGGATAGCTAGAAGCCTGAGCCATTAGGCCAAACAGTTTAAACAATATAAGTCTCTATGTGTTTACTCGGTTGGGTCAAAGTGGCTGTGGGACTGGTGGGTGAGAGAGATTTGTCCTGACTGTGGACCAGGCAGGACTGGAGAAAACTCCAGCTACAAATGGTGCCCAACATGTTGGCAAGAGTTTCCACCTAAAATCTGAGAAAAGATTCTAAAACGGAGCTAAAAACAGCTTCCTAATTGTCTCTCTCAAATGAGCGGCAGCCTGCTGGTTTGAGCTATTGGCGGGTTCCTACCATGGGTGCTCGATCTGCAGTATGGCGGGAATGAGGCCTCTGCAAGTGGCACATTAAGCTGCGTGGTGGATTTAGCCTTTGCTAGTACAAAACAAAAAAAGAGGTTTCTGGGCTACACGCTGCTTGAATAAAAGCATAGACCCACAATAGCTCCCAGAGCTGGCAGTAAACCACCGCCATGTTGGGAAGCTGAGGTGGGTGGAGCCAGCAGCCATATCGCCGTTTCAGCAATAGATTCACAATAAGACAGATTCAGATGTAATAGTTTACAATGTGTGTAAAAGATACATAGGCTTGAAAGAGACAAAAAAAGGTGATATGTACAGTTATATAAACAAATACATAGTTTTAAAAAATAAAGTCTTTAAAGAGACAGTAAAATAATATAAAAAATAAGCCACGTAAAGATGAATATTACACAGAGAATCTGGATTGTGTTGTCTTTGGGATTCTTAACTGCAGAGAGATATTTGACTATAAAGGAAGCTGAGTTAAACCAATATGTATATTTTAAAGATACCTTGACTTCAAAATTTGGATGTAAGGATATGTTGCTTTGGAAAGGAGACTCTGCTTTTGTTCCCACAGAAAGCCAAAGGCTATGGATTTGTTCCAGATTAAGATACATCAGGTTTGACCAGCCAAGATCCCCTGAAAGGTCTCCGATGACACCATGGCCCAGATGATCCAACATCCAGAATGGTTTGAAGGCATCTGGCTCAGACAATACAGCCTCATGGACTATTCCATAATCCTAAAATTTTCTTTGTGTCCCCATAAGATACAGCGCCCCCCTCCAGCAGGAAGTAGTAAGAGAAGCTACGCCCAAATTCCCAAATTATATGTAATTTTACTTTGTTAAAGTTAAAACCTTCCTTTTTGAAAAAAAAAAAGAAAGAAAGAAAGAAAGAAAAGGAGAAGTGCTGTGGGATGTTCTGTATGGCAAATGTGTTGCTCTGATTGGTTAGTAAATAAAACACTGATTGGCCAGTAGTCAGGCAGGAAGAAGTATAGGCGGGACAAGGAGGAGAAGAATTCTGGGAAGTGAAAGACTGAGTCAGAGACTGCCAGCTGCCACCATGACAAGCAGCAGGTGAAGATGCCGGTAAGCCACAAGCCATGTGGCAAGGTATAGATTTATGGAAATGGATTAATTTAAGATGTAAGAACTGGATAGCTAGAAGCCTGAGCCATTAGGCCAAACAGTTTAAACAATGTAAGTCTTTATGTGTTTACTCGGTTGGGTCAAAGTGGCTGTGGGACTGGCGGGTGAGAGAGATTTGTCCTGACTGTGGACCAGGCAGGACTGGAGAAAACTCCAGCTACACTCACCAAACTCTAAGATATTCCCTTTACAAGTCCTTGCAGGTTTTGCAGGAAGTTCACCAGGCTATTGGCCAGACAGTGAAGGAAATCCTGCCATCTCCCACCTCTGAACCTACCCACCAGTTCCAGCCAGGAGACTTGGTTTGGATAAAAAGGATCCCTGCCTGGACCCTGGAACCTGTCTGGAAGGGGTCCTACCCAGTCATCCTCACCACCCCAATTGCTGCCAAAGCAGCTAGTGTTGTCCATTGAAAAAGGCCACTTTGGAAATTATGGAATAACTGTCACTTGGACAGTTCAGGCCCCTTAAAAATAAGACTGACCAGAGTTTACTAACCTGGGATACACAATCCCTATCACCCCCAAACCTGGATGTGGGAATTCAGAAAAACCAGGGATGGGAAACTCTATCTTTCAGGTGGACCTCTTCTCTCTTATGTCCCTTCCAGAGTGGAACAATATAGGTCCAGGAAAGAGATGGGGATCAGAAAATAAAGTTGTGGAGAAGACTGGCAAAAAGAGGGCCCTCAAGGATCACAATTTTAGGCATGCTCTGCCAAGGACAAGATAACTGCACCATGTCCTCAGATTCACCTGGCTTGCTTGATAACAGTTTGACTAAATGTGCATCCTCTGACTCACCAGAATCACACCCCCACTCTATGTATATTGGTCTCTGTTATTCCCCCAGGTATATGCCTATAATGGAAAAGAGGGGAGAGCTCATATTAGCCTTGACTCAATCTTAATGAAGGTTGTGGGCCCCAAGTCTGGTCCCAATCCTAAGTAGGGGCAGGAATAGCCAGTATAACTGCCATAGGCACCTCAGCCTTGATTGTTGGGAATCCAAAATTTTAGGGGGCTCAGTTCCCAGATAGACTTAGACCTAGGCCATTTGGAGAATTCTATTCCCAGGCTGAAGAGTCAAATTGACTCCCTCACAGGGGTAGTCCTACAGAACTGAAGGAGGCTAGACTTCCTTTTATGAAACAGGGAGGAGTTTGCATGGCCTTAGGAGAAACTTGCTGTTTCCATGCCAACCAGTCAGTGGTACCAATTATAAAATTAGGGTTTTATAAATGTATCTCTGTTATGTTTGAGTCTTAAAAAATTATAATTATTGAATTAAAGATTGTTTAGCATCAAAATAAATTGTAAATCATAAATACACTCCATAGAGAGACTTTTTTCAGTGTACTGTTAGAAAATGTCAGTTTTTTATATGACTCAGTTTCTCCAAATACCTAAATCTTAACAAATATAACAAAAATATTGGTTTGGGTATGGTCCAATTTTAAAATAAACCATCTTGGAAGCCTGGTGTTGCCTCCTTCGTGTAAGGAAAATAAAATAAAACAAACCAATTCGGTGGTCTGTTATTACCTCCTTAGTCTAATAAAAGGGATATACAATAATTAGCGGATGGCTCTAGTTGTTTTATGGGTGCTGCCTTAAGTAATTTATACCACATGGTCACTTTAATCGAGATATCAGTGAAGTCACACGACATGTCCTTTCAAACCTTTGTAAAGATGGCGGCTGAGGCACATGGCTGCCAAGATGGCAGCAAGCAACTTGGTTGTTATTTACTCAAAGATAATCTTAGGTCATCAACAAAGATATCAATAAGTCACATGGTTGATAGGTCATCAACCAAGATAGTGGCAAACCACATGATACTACAAGGTGAGCCCAACAGGTATACAGCCATTTCCTAAACAAGAGTTGAAACCAAATTACATACATGATCTGCTATAGGAAATTAAAATTATCTATACATCTGTTTTAAATCATAATCAATGGATTTACAAATCCTAAAATACAGAATTAAAATTTCAGCAAAACCAAGGAAAAGGGAGAGAATTCAGAGTCTTAAACATCTTAACATTTGTAGCCTCTGAGGGAAATAATTTACTTCTCAGTTGTTCTCAAGTGTCTTTTCCTGGCTATTCTGTTTTGCTCTCCTTTTCCCTGTCACAGAGTCAGATGGACAGCCTAACCCAGGACAAAGACTTTGGAGGAACTTAAACAAACATGCTGTGTCTGGAACAGATGGGCCAACTCCAATTTCCAACTCTAGTGCCAGGCTTTTCAGTAGAGAAGAAAAGCATGAAACAATTTTTCAATTTTATCCATTCCCAAAAGACATTTGAATCTCTGTAAGACTGAATGTGATGGTCTACATATCCATAACCAGTTTATGTGTGTCTGCAGATGGGACCAGACAACCTGAAATGCTTTTATCTCTTAACTGTTAAAGGTACAAGCAGGATTTTCCAGGTTTGCAGAGGCAGAAACACAAATAGGCCAAAAGCATAAGGCAAAAGAGGCATAAGAAAAAAGAGTTCTATGCTATCTCAGGAATAGATATGAGTTTGGAGGCCCGGCAGAAATAGTAGGCATTCTGGCTCTGGGTATGGTTGTAAGCCAGAACCTTGAGAAAGAATTGATTGAACTGTGATTTTTAAGGGGAGGAGGCCTCAGACCACACTACCATTCCATCTCACAGAGTTACCTAAATCAGTTTAGAAATAGCAAGTTACAAATTTAGACCAGAAGTGCCCATTTGTCCAATGTTCATTGAGGCCTGATTTGGATGGAGAGCTGAACAAATGAACTTGGTATGAGATATCCCAAATGGAACTTTTTAGATTAGCCTGCAGTCAAACTGAGGGTGTGTACTTTGGAATAAAGAATTGGGAACACATAGCTGGACACAGGACCAAGGTAAAAAGATAGGGATCGGTGTCAAGCTGCTTAGAGAGTCCTCTAAGTCACAGAAAAACCACATGCTCCTGGAAAGTAAGAGGGCATCCCCAACAATTACAACCCCAGGGTTAAGAAAGCCCAGGGTCAGTGGAAGGTTCTCAGATTTTTTTTGACTGATCAAGAGGTAGGCCAGGGGAGAGTTCACAGAATTATAATTCTTAGTCAAATTTTCTTGAGTCAGTGGGAAGTCTCTGGTGCCTTTGCCTGAGCCAGTCTTAAGATAGCCACATGGAAACTCCAGTGTGAATGAAAATGAGGACATGACTGCTCCTAAGTATGGTTGATGAGAGGTTTTATTGTTGATATAAGGGTTAAAACAGCCAGAGGCACCTAGAAGGGTCCAGACTGAACAGGACCATGAGAGGAGGAGGGGGAGATTGGGAGAGGAAGAGGAGAGGGGGCAAGTGGATCAAAAGAGGGGCCATGGACTAAAAGGCCAAGAAAGAAATCAGGATCCAAAATAGCACATAGCAAAAATGGCTGAATTACATTGGGAACAGGCTGGGAGAAGGGAAGCAGAAGCCCAGTCCCTGGGAGGGAGGGGTTTAGGGTAGGGGGTGGGGTGAGGAGTGCTGGGAGGAGCCACAGGTACTGAGTGAGCATTGTCTGGGGTTTCTTTTGTCCTAACATTTCAGAATTTTGTAAATGATAAGAGACAGCATAATCTCTTCTGTAACTACTTCCTGCTGAAATTGGGATGTCATTGCCAGGGGGCCCAAGAAACTGGAATGTTAATCAAAGCCAGGGAGAGAGAAGTGCAGGCTGGGGGACATCTGTTTTGCTCACTATCCTGGTTCTGTGGGACTACCTGGTTCTGTAGGGAAGTTCAGACTGCTTTGAAGCAGTTTGGGATGCAAGTTTGGAAGGAACACCTGAGGCTAGTGCATAACAGGCAGTTTTGGAGCAATCTGAAGTTGATTTGAAATCTGCTGGGACAGATCTAGACCAGGGACAGAAGGTAAAGTTAAGGAGCTTAGGGGAAATTTTTTTATGTTGGGTGTATACTTGAAGCTTCCAGGCCCATGGTCCTGGTAGTTGGATAGGAGAATCCCAAGACCAGGGGAGAAAGAAAGAGATTCCATCCTCGGGAATAGTCAGGTAGGGAAACTTAGGCTGCTGGTTGACAGGAATATTTATCTGGAGTCTGTCCTATGACTTGTGGACACAAGTCACCATTCCTTGAAGCTTATAAGATTTCTTTTTTAAGTTTACAAAAAGAGGTAAAAGTTTTAGACATATTAGCATTATTACTGTTTGTAATCTACTGAAATAAATATTGTAGAAAAAGCAATAGACTCACATGTTTGAGTCATAGTAAAAGCTTGGACTCAAAACACAATTCTGGGTTAAAAGCAATAACACTCTTTCCTATGTCCAGAGGGCTGGATACATAGATTAGACAGAGATGTTTTTAGCACTAAGAGACACACTTTATGTACTTCTTACTATAATACCATAGCCAGAGAAAAAAGAATTTGAGACATTTGTCACTTTTCAGACACAAGTGGTTGATTACTGAAAGCAGTCATTGCAAAGCAAGTTCCTTTAAATAAAGGAATAGTAAAAAAAAAAAAAAAAAAAAAAAAGTTACTTTGAAACCTGTTTTGTGAGTTTTTATCTCTTTAAGAGTGAAGTCTGACAGCAAGGTAAACTGCACCTGCCTTGCCTTTCTCAGCTGGAAACCTCTACAAAAGTGAGACCTGAGGCCTGATTTTACATATGAAATGAATTAAAAAGGCAACTGAAGCACTAGGGGGAGGGGAGTTGGGTGCCTGCTGCTGTCAAACTGACAAAGCCATAGTTAGCTTTGAACACCATCAGAGATCAGAGAAGCATAAATTATATCAGGAAGTACTAATTAAAATGACATTGACTTACCTGTACAGTTACTTTAGACTCCCATGTGGTCTTGGTGGCTTTATTGGGAGCAGAAGTAGTTGGTCTTCAGCCACCACACAGAACAGCATTACATCTTTATCTGCTTTACAGGAGAACATCAAACTTTGACTGCCAGACCCAGAAGGTCTGAGAGATTTTTCTGTGGAGAAGGAACTTGGAAAAACTGATCTACCTTGGGTGGGCAGAGTAGGGCAATCAACCCAAAAGTGTCCACATTTTGGGCAGAGCCCTGGCAGCAGGTGAGGCATTAGGCAGTTCTTTGCCCATTGGTTAGATTTAACAAACCAGGAGGAATCATCTGTGCTTTATTATCTTCTTTGGAGATCTCAGGTCGCCACTAGGAGCTGGCATTTCTGTCTATCATGAGAAGCTTTTCATTAAACATTCTAAATGCCAAATTCAGAAGATCTCTGAAGAGTTTTAGGACCATTATCTACTAAGTACACCTGATTTTAAACAAACCTGACTTGTTTTTAGTTACTTGCTTTAGGTTTAACCTTGAAAACATATCAGAAAGCTAAATAAAGTTTGTCCCTGTAAATGAATTAATTACATTTGTATTTGGCATGGCTATGAACACATTAAAGAATTTGAGCATTAACAGAATACCTGAGCATTAACTTTGTGTCTTAATTATCTTTAACAGTTTATAACTGTGGGGCCCAGGGCAGCTTGACTACACTACTGCCATGACAGGCTCAAAAGAAACCAGTCAGAGAGTATACCTGTTTCATTTTACTGTAAGGCAACACCCTGTTCCAGGAAAAGTCATAAACTGGCACCACCCCAGAATGAGCCAATCAGCATCCAAGGGGAAAATACATAACATTCCAACCTAAGGGGAAAGTACCTGACATTCCAAACATTTTCGACCATTATAGATAAGATCACCAGATGTCCCTGAACCCAGCATGCACCTATCCCCTTTCACCAAGATACCCCTAGACAATTGTCAGCCAATCAGGGTCCTGAACCCTAGAAATCCCCTAATCCCAACCTCTGCTGTGATAAAAATCTTAACCTGACTGGGCTTGGGGCTCTCTGCTCTCACCACTATGTCAGACAGATGGAGAGCCCAAGCTCAAGTTTGAATAAAGGCTCTTTGCTTTTGCATATGGATTCAGGCTCTGTGGTGGTCTTTGAGGGATCCCTGCAATCTGGGTGTAACAATAACAAGTTAGTAGCTTTTATAAGTTTGAGCATTAAAAATTTGAGCTGAAGATCCTTTTGTTGAAAATTTTTGCATCTATGCTCATAAGAGAAATTAGCTTGTAATTCTCTTTCTTTGTTGGGTCTTTGTGTAGTTCAGATATCAGGGTAACTGTGACCTCATAAAATGAATTGGGCATTGTACTTTGTGTTTCTATTTTGTGGAATAATTTGAAGAATATTGACATTGACTCTTCTTTGAAAGTCTGGTAGAACTCTTGGGCATATACCCAAGGAATGCTGATTCATACCACAAAGATACATGCTCAACTATGTTCAAAGCAGCACTATTTGTAATAGCCAGAACCTGGAAACAACCTAGATGCCCGTCAACTGAAGAATGGATTAAGAAAATGTGGTACATACATACAATGGAGTACTACTCAGCAAAGAAAAACAATGACAGCATGAAATTTGCAGGCAAATGGATGGAACTAGAAAAAATCATTCTGAGTGAGGTAACCCAAACCCAGAAGGAAAAACATGG